ATTAGTGAGGTGATAGACAGCCATGTAATTGAATTATTCATAGTGGGATTTCTGTCCCAACTAATTGTATTTAGACATCCTTCATGTCCAGTAATAAATCATAGGCTCTATTACAGTTGCCAAAAATGTATTAGTCAGAAAAACTGTAAATGTGAAAGAAAACGAAAGAGCCAAACTGAAACAAAATCCTCTTACCTTCAATGTATCAGTTCTCGGCTGTGTCTTGGCTCCTAAAACATGATCAAGTCTCAGTCTCTGTGAGTGTCTCTCTCTCTCTCTCTCTCTCCTCTCTCTCTCTCTCTCTCTCTCTCTCTCTCTCTCTCACACTTTCTGTCAAAGAAGTGCTCTTCTGAGTAACAGTCTCTAGTAACAGTCTCCAGCAAGTTGTGTTTTTAAGGGTTGGACTAGATCCCTCTGAAGTGCAGGACTGTAGGGTTTAGGGTGAATCTCCAGTGTCCTGGGAGTCCGTCGGAAGAGGTACCGCTCTGAGCTCTCTGTTTATGTAGTCAAATCACAGCACAGGGGGTCTCCTCTCTTCTGGTCTGCTCTCCTCTGCTCTCTTCTCACATACACTGATAAAGTCAGCCCACTGCTCTGCCGAACAGCGAACAGAAACACACACTGTCTCCCTCACCCAGAAGAGACTGCCAGTGGTCCTGGTCCACCACTGCTGAGGCTCTAACACATGGAGAGAGAGAGAGAGAGAAGAGAGGAGAGAGAGAGAGGAGAGAGAGAGAGAGAGGAGAGAGAGAGAGAGGAACGACAGAGAGGAGAGAGAGAGAGAAGAGCGAGCGACTATCTTCTCTCCTTCGCTTCTCTCTCTCTCCTCTATCTCTCTCTCTTCAGCTCTCTCTCTGCCTCTCTCTCTCTCTCTCTCTCTCTCTTATCCTGATCTCTCTCTGCTCTTCTCTTCTCTTCTTCTCTCTATATCTCTTTGGTGCTATGTTTTGTTGTTCAATTTGTTTGTCCAGTTCACCACCGTGTGATTTGATTTGTTTGATGGTGGTACTGAACTGAAGCAGTTCCGACAGTCACTACTAGCAACAGGATCGGACTGCATCTGTATCTAAGACTCAAAACAAGTACAACAAAGAGAGAGAAAGGGACAATTCCAGGAGAAAACGTGTTTTGGCAAGCCTGTGCCAGGCTATAGAAAACAAACGAAAAACAAGTCTCTCTTTCACTTAGTAACATAACTCAGCTTCACTTTCAGTAATAATCACCTCATCTACACAAAGTGTGAAAGCGAGAGAGAAAACAGGTTAGAGACTACAGGAGGTTTGTACTGTGCACAGGAGCTCTGCTTTCAGTGTGAAAGAATCTCTCTCTCTCTCTCTGTTTTCAATGTCTGTGCCCATGTCTGTTTTCAATCTTGGCCGGATTCCTAATTTCTCCTTTCCCAGGATATGAGTGGATGGCCTGAAAATTCATAATGCCAGCCAGCAGCTGACTCAGGCCTTTCTTTCTGTTAGAAAGAGAGGGCCTCCTGAGAGCGAACGGGGGGTACAGAGAGTGAGAGATGAGGGGGCAAATTGGACCAGACTCTCCTTTAATTGTGTGAGTCAATGTGAAGGCTCAGCAGCAGTAATTAGAGGGATGACAGTTACAACACAACACAGGGAGTTAAGAGGGGACAACAACAGTCTTCAGAACCGCCAGTCAGAGCATAGTGGGCCCCACCTCACAGTTGTATACTAATGCAATAGTAAACTACTGTAATACTTTATAATACATATTATCTTGTTCTCTACAAGCCCAAAGTGAGCTCATAGTGCAGTATAAACGTTGCACAGATCGCTGCACTGCGGCCACTACCACAACATCAATGACTTCAACTTCTATCACTGTAATATTAGCCCTCTGCTACAGCTGTTGCTTCTCCATCTACTGTACCAGATGTAGACAACATCCTCTTTTTGAAATACCAGTAGTAGTAGTAATACCATGGCTGATGTTTTGAAAATACCATTAGTAGTATTTGTAGTAGTAATAATAGTAACACCATGGCTGCTGTTTTACCTCTATACAGTACTCATTGCTTCCCCACACACTCTTATCTATGAGGATGAGGGGAGCTAAGACACAAACTGTCTAAACATCCTCCAATTAAAAACAGGCCAGCTCTTCTCCTGGGACAGACCCTCACGATAGAAATCGTCTAAGCCCTATGACTGGCTAGGCCAAGAATGCCTATGGACTGACTGGCTGGGACACCCATGTGTTGTTGGGAGGCCTGGTCCGTTATCAACAGTCATATTTACATGGCCTCACTTAAGGGGGGATAGCTTTTACAATGGCACAACAGTTGGAGTAGTCTAGGGAGTGGTCAAGAGAGGAAATGTTTTGTTTTGTAGTAAAAGGGAAAATGCCAAACCCTATATAGAAAGCTTAGTAGGGAAACAAATCACTAATTCGATCTAGGATAAGGTGCCATGCAGTTCTGCCTACTGAATATTGGTTTTAACCAATTCATTATTTATGTGTGGAGAGTCTGAAATTGGGCAATCCTCATCAGTAGTTACAGTAAGAGAGAGTGTTTTATAAGAATAAATACTGGCCACAATTAAACACTTAAAGATAATTGTTATGACGTTATCTATGACTTGCTTGTTTGAAGTTTGTAAACGGTATGTGGGATAAACTTCAAGCAACCACATTTAGTATTGCATAATAAAGTATTACATAACACAGTAAGAATAGATTACAAAGCATATAGCAAGGCCCAGTAGGCCAGAGGGATAATGCCCATAGGGGGCAGCACAGGGGCATGTGCCCCCTCACATTTCTCAATTTTCTTCTGTAATACTACTAGCCACTTAGCAATTTTATGAAGTTGGCCTTTGATAGCCCAGATAGGTTCCCAATCTCCCAACCTCATAACTAGCTACCAAGATGCCATTTCAGACTATCAATCAAGTTTGGGTAGCTAGCTTGTCTAACTATCTTAGCTGGCATGCCTGCTGGCAAGGTTGGTAGACTTTTGAAAAGCAAGTAATAACTAAATGTACAGAATAAGACTCACATTCCTTTCAATCTTTTAACCCAGATATTAGCAGAGATGCAGAGAAACATATTTAGTTTCTTTAAAAAAGGACCACCACTCAGGAGGATACAGACAGCTCAAGAGGTATGCTTAGATATGCAGAAAAATTGACATATTTTTTAAACATAGAATTAAGCATAATGATTTTGTCTCTAGATTGCAGGAGAAAGCTGTTTCAGGTGTTCAGGCAAAATCTTCCAATTTACCGGTGACCACCTACCAGCGATCCTCACATACTTTGTGCCCCCTCAAATTTTTGGGGTGCATGACACCCCTGCTGTAGGCCACAGGTTGCCTCAGGCTGTGACTTGAGTCCACTGTATCTTTCCCTCCAGGCGGAGGCTGCTGAACATCAAAGAATTGGGTCTGCCTGGGAACCCATAACAACTCATTACCGCCCAGAGGCAGTGCTCCTGACACGTGTAAGCGTCTCACAAGTGGCCCACAGAGGCTAGAAATCTTTGATTACTTCCCCAGTTACACTTTATGTGTTTACAAGACATACAGTAGTGAAATGCTATACTGTTTATGTAGGACTACTACACTTAACCACAGAGACAATTCAACCTACCTCTGAGTCTGATTCTTTTTTCTGGCACAGAGCGAGAGTCAAGTTCCTGTAACTCAGTTGTCTATATAAAGTATGTCCTATTTAAAGCGTTTTGTGGTTTGAAACTTTTCAGTAGATGTTGGAGACATTTTTCAGGGAGCTATAATAGAGTTTTAGACTTACATAAAGCTCAGACAGTTGGCTTTGCTCAAAGCTTATGTCTGGAATCTGTGTCAGTGGGTTGTGTAATGGACAGACTTGCCTGTTGAGCTGACGTGTGCATGCTTCGTGCGTGTGTGTGCATGCTTAGCATTCCTATCTGTCTGTCTGTCTTCTCATCTGTTTGTATGTAAGTCTGTTTGTCTGTCTGTCTTATTTGCAGCAACAACAAACAAGATATGTGTGGTCCTACCCAGTCCAACAAGATACCAGTGCTGAAAACACACTCTCCACAAAATATCTACTTTATAAGCTATTCTTTACATTACAAATGGTAGAGAAAGTGCATTAATGGGATTTACAGTACAGAATGAGCTGTATTCTGTCTGGGTTCCAGATGACTGTACATTTGTCTACACATTCTGATGGACATCAGGTTTATTGGGCGCCGGCAGGTGAATTTGGCTGGAGGCTTCATGAGTATTATAACAGTTTCTCATCCTTTAGTGTTCACTTGGCCGGTGCTAATGGTGGATTGTCGCTAATGGACGTCTAGACTAGATATTGACTTCAATCTTTAATAAATGCCTTCCCTTCCGAAATTCTAATGGATGGTGTCTTTTGCACCAGCTGAGTAGGCTGTCACTGTAGATTATCAACAATGTGACATATTTTTATTCATAAAATAATTATGTTTCCAAATGTGAACAGTAGAAGGGTCTATACCGCATTAATTGCCTCAGGTGAAAGTAAAAGTAGTTTTGAGATGGCAGGCTACTTCAAACCCAAGAAACTTCACAAACAGTAGAGGACAGCAGATCACACACATTAAATGTACTTTACCCCAGCATGTTGTTGTCCGTCATTTCAGGTTGTAGGGCTGCATGTCATGTCTGGTAATCTGATGCCCCCCTATGGTCACTGTAAAGTCATGCAGTGTTTCAGACTTTTAGGAGGGAATGTATCCCCCACCTCATACAGACACAAACACAGTGAATTACTTTGATTCAAGGAATAATTTTGTACATTAAATAATCATGATGTCCTCACCTCAATGGCCTCCACTGATCCTAACTTATTAATAAAACACCATTTCTGAAAAAGACCCTACATAATCTTGATGTGAGGGGCTGTGCTAACTAGGTAGTCCCTCCAGGTTGTAAAGTTGACGTCATGGAGATACCTTCGAACTGTCAACTTGTCCTGCAAACAACACTATATAAAGGTGTGGTGAGGTGTAACTGCTCGACAGGTGCATAGGTTACAGGAGGTTGATCGCGTAGATAGATTTCTAGGAATTTCTATAGAATTGGTGTTATAATTTTGTGGATTACCATGTGCAGAGGAGTTAATTCTTTGACATGTGCGTGAGTTACCTGCTGGATAAAAACACCAGAATGTACTCAAATTCTGTGGGACACCCGACTCAAACTCTGAACAGTCAGAACTTCATGCAATATACGGATTTGACTGGTTATCATCATGTCACAGGCATCAGTGACCCGCATGCCCAGATGACAGGTGTGTGGAACCCCACTTACTTCGCAGCTCCGCAGGAGGAGTGGTCACCGTATGGCCAGAGCGCGGACTTCCACGGTTTGAGCCCAGGTATAGAACAGATAAGTTTCAGTTCCCGTGATCCGACATCCATCCTGCCTATGGGGCCGGGAACTCTTCCATCACTCAACTCACCTGCCGGGCAGTACTCTCCAGACTCAGACTGGATCAGACACAATGTACATTCATCCAGTACAGGTAAACTCCCCAAATCCCAATTCCTTGAGCCTATCTCAAATATATGAATTGGCCTAGTTTATTTCCTCAATAAAATGTATTTATTATGTACAGTAGGCTACTTATTGTTGAACGCCCAAAACTGTTTATGAACTTTGCGGAGAGTATTACACCTATTAGAAAAATAGTACAAGTTATGGACTTGTTGATCCAATGTTAGTGCTCAATGGCAGACGTCAGGTTTAATGTTTTGAGTGGGTGTAGGCTTACAGGACACAAAACAAGCATTGTTGACTCACTGAAAACAGAATACATATTCATATACATAAGTTCCAGAACCTTTGCAAAACGTCACACACATTCATCAAACAGAACCTTTTCACCTATCCCTTCCACTGGTTAAAATATTTTAGTGAAAAGCTAACATCCGAGGCCTGGGAGTCTGTAACCTGTGGTTCCCCACCCTCTCTGTCCACTGTGGGGGTGACACGGAGGGCATATAAGGCTGACAGCCAGGGGTTTGGTTTGGACTGGGCTGGGTGTCTCAGACAGGACAGGACCAACCCTCCTCTACAGGAAACTCTCCTGGCCTTATCTCACTTTGTGTTCCCCTCCTCGCCCTGTTGCGATCAATGTTCGGTCGCACCGTGCCGTCAAGACTTCTCCTGTGGATCAATACCATCTCCCTGACTCACCCGTCCCTGGCGCTGTGTGTGTGTGTGTGTGTGTACAGTATGTGTGTGTACGCACACAAGTGGGAATGAATGGCTATCTATGTAAACTCCTATGTAAACAGCTCTCACAGTGATAAGAACCACCACAGTAATGTCTTACACACTGCTTATGATTAACATGACTAATAGGGTAGATGAGGCTTCACAGGCGCCAGGGAGCTTTCAACCACCCCCATGTGTGAGACAACTCTAACATGGCTCCAGACATGTCTCCATCAGCCAGTTTTAGCAGTCTGTGGTGGTACTACTGTTCACACATTGTACAGCCTGAGTCATGGAGATATCTTCACACTGTTTACACTTGAATCTATGTATGCCAATCCCTCCAAGAGTTATACACTTTTTGTATTTATCATATCATCACCTAACATGCCAATTTAACCCATTTAGAACGTTGATTTCAAAATCCTTGAAAACTACTCAGTGCTGGATCATCCCTATAATAGTTGTTAGATAAATGTATTATTATGTTTGTTGCATTGTCATTTTTGTGTTTGGTTCCAGGAGGGAAGACGCGCACCAAGGACAAGTACAGGGTGGTCTACACGGACCAGCAGCGCCTAGTGCTAGAGAAGGCGTTCCAGTACAGCCGCTACATCACCATCAGGAGGAAGACAGAGCTGGCCCTGAGCCTCAGCCTCTCAGAGAGACAGGTGGGTCAGAGAGACAGACAGACAGACAGGTGTCAGAAAGACAGGTGTGTCAGAGAGACAGGTGTGTGTTAGAGAGACAGACAGACAGACAGGTGTCAGAAAGACAGGTGTGTCAGAGAGACAGGTGGGTCAGAGAGACAGACAGACAGACAGGTGTCAGAAAGACAGGTGTGTCAGAGAGACAGGTGTGTGTTAGAGAGACAGACAGACAGACAGGTGTCAGAAAGACAGGTGTGTCAGAGAGACAGTTGGAGAGCTGTAGAAAGAGTTCCAGTGCAGAGCTGGCCCTGGGACTCAGCCTCTCAGAGAGACAGGCAGATGACAGATATGTTTGTGAGAGTGACAGGTGGGTCAGAAAGACAGGTGAGAGCAACAGGTGAACATCACCTCACACTGCAGATACATTCTCATCATTCTCTGATATCGTCGCAGGTGAAGATCTGGTTCCAGAACAGGAGAGCCAAGGAGAGGAAGATTACCAAGAAGAAGATCGAGATGTCCCAGCAGGCCTCTAAGACTACAACCACCCTGACCCTTACCCCGTCCAGCCTGGCTGACCCCAGCAACGGCTCCATGGCAACCAGCTCCAGCAGCAGCAGCTTGTTGTCAGAGACAATATCAATGACTATCAAAGAGGAGTACTGAGGAGTTCCTTTACCGCGGACAAACTGTAAACACTGGAATAACCATATTAAACTGCTGTTCCCATGACAATCACTACAGAAGATGTAATTGACCTCAGTGATATGATGATGAAAAAACTATTACATGCTTCTTGCACACCTCTAATAGAATACTACTGTCTGTGTTTTGATAAAAATAAGAACGAGAGAGAGTAGAACAGGTTACACTATGCAAATATGTATAAAGACATAAGTGCCTTACTTGCAACTGCTTTTGTGTTTATATTTTCTTGACCCAATTAATTTGTAACTGCAAAACAAGGGTAATGTTTTGATCAGATGTTTTTTTTTCTTTTTTTTTCTTCAATATTTTGTATGAAAGGTTTGATTGGTTTTGAGGCACCGTGAAGGGAAAATCAATTGAAGAGATGTCGAAGAAGGAAGTAAGCAGGGGTATTTATGTTCACATCCTGATAGTTGATCGACAGCTGGCCTCAGTTTCTCAATCCTATGATTCATCCAGACAAATAAAAAAACGTCTTGGTACGTCTTATTGGTACAAACATTTCTGTGTTACAAACGACTTTACAAGTGTATCATTGACACCTAGGCTACATATAGATGTTGTTTGCCCCGTTTTGCCAAAATTGACACCTAAAAACAGGTTTGAAAACCACTGCTGTATCCCCTTTACAGTATGTGCCAAGACAGCCATGATCACCAAGAAGAGAAACCACACGTTTTAGCCGTTTACAGTCTCTCCACAAATGATTAGTTTGCTATTTTAATGCCAGAGGCACATGACAAGCATAAAAGTTTCATGATTGCAAAAAAAAACTTATAAAAGTCTTATCTAAGCTGTTTGTATCACATGATGATGAGCACTGTTCGCATTGCATTGCTGTAAAACTTACAGCGCCTTGCAAAAGTATTCATCCCCCTTTATCGTTTTTCCTATTTCTGTTGCATTACAACCTGTAATTTAAATGGATTTTTATTTGGATTTCATGTAATGGACATACACAAAATAGTCCAAATTGGTGAAGTGAAATGAAAAAAATTACTTGTTTCAAAAAATTCTAAAACATTAATAATGGAAAAGTTGTGCGTGCATATGTATTCACCCCCTTTGCTATGAAGCCCCTAAATAAGATCTGATGCAACCAATTACCTTCAGAAGTCACATAATTAGTTAAATAAAGTCCACCTTTGTGCAATCTAAGTGTCACATGATCTGTCACATGATCTCAATATATATACACCTGTTCTGAAAGGCCCCAGAGTCTGCAACACCACTAAGCAAGGGGCACCACCAAGCAAGTGGCACCATGAAGACCAAGGAGCTCTTCAAACAGTTAAGGGACAAAGTTGTGTAGAAGTACAGATCAGGGTTGGGTTATAGAAAAATATCCGAAACTTTGAACATCCTACGGAGCACCATTAAATCCATTATTTAAAAATGGAAAGAATATGGCACAACAACAAACCTGCCAAAAGAGGGCCGCCCACCAAAACTCACGGACCAGGCAAGGAGGGCATTAATCAGAGAGGCAACAAAGAGACCAAAGATACCCCTGAAGGAGCTGCAAAGCACCACAGCGGAGATTGGAGTATCTGTCCATAGGACCACTATAAGCCGTACACTCCACAGAGCTGGGCTTTACGGAAGAGTGGCCAGAAAAAAAGCCATTGCTTAAAGAAAGAAATAAGCAAACACGTTTGGTGTTCGCCAAAAGCCATGTGGGAGTCTCCCCAAACATATGGAAGAAGATACTCGGTCAGATGAGACTCAAATTGAGCTTTTTGGCCATCAAGGAAAACGCTATGTCTGGCGCAAACCCAACACCTCTCATCACCCCGAGAACACCATATTTTTCATTGGCAGGGACTGGGAAACTGGTCAGAATTGTAGGAATGGATGGATGGCGCTGAATACAGGGAAATTCTTGAGGTAAACCTGTTTCAGTCTTCCAGAGATTTGAGACTGGGACGGAGGTTCACCTTCCAGCAGGACAATAACCCTAAGCATACTGCTAATGCAACACTCGAGTGGTTTAAGGGAAAACATTGAAATATCTTGGAATGGCCTAGTCAAAGCCCAGACCTCAATCCAATTGAGAATCTGTGGTATGACTTAAAGATTGCTGTACACCAGCGGAACCCATCAAACTTGAAGGAGCTGGAGCAGTTTTGCCTTGAAGAATGGGCAAAAATCCCAGTGGCTAGATGTGCCAAGCTTATAGAGACATACCCCAAGAAACTTGTAGCTGTAATTGCTGCAAAAGGTGGCTCTACAAAGTATTGACTTTTGGGGGATGAGTAGTTATGCACGCTCAAGTTCTGTTTTTCTGTCTCATTTCTTGTTTGTTTCACAATACAAAATATTTTGCATCTTCAACGTGGTAGGAATGTTGTGTAAATCAAATGATAAAAAAAAAAAAAAAAATCAATTTTAATTCCAGGTTGTAAGGCAACAAAATAGGAAGAATGCCAAGGGGGTGAATACTTTCGCAAGCCACTGTATATGGGGATATGGACACTTACATCCGCAGTATAGATAACCCACATGACATTATTTGGACTTAAAAACTATTATGAATTTCACATTAATCTGTACAGTCTTGTACAGGTTTTGATATGCATACCCTTTTCTCCCTGCTTATTGTCCAATAGGGGACATGACAAGAGGATGTCAGAAGAACACATTAGTTATATGATTAGAGCAGCATACCTGGGCATGTCATGAGCACTCTCTCTCCCTGGTAGCAACATTAATTGCATTCAATTCTCTGCCACTCTGCTCACTCTCTCCCTACTCTGCCTAACGAGCTCCACCTGGCTCCGCCCTGCTCTGCTCTTGTTACCTGGCCAGCTGCACTGCATTTCCCACTCACCATCCTCACCTTGCCTCACTCTGTTCTAATTACTCTGCCAGCTGAACTGCATTTCCCCACTAACCTCTCCCAGTATATCAAGCCCTGTTTTTCAGCCAAGCCCTGTCAGATCGTCTTCAAACCCGGACCAGTAACCTGCCTGTCTGCGCTCTGACTCCTGTTTGTGATACCGATCCTTTCTTGACTGCCTCCTTGTTCTACTGCCCCGTCTATCCCGACCTGCCTTCTGGACCTCGACTACTCTCCGATCTTCAGCCCCTCCGGTAACTCGATTCTGCCTTCTGTCTCTCACCACGATATTTGCCCAGCCCAGATCTGTACTTCTGCCTGCCATTCATATTGCTGTTGTGTGTGTGTTCCCCCCAGGTCTCCGACCACCAGATGAGCGTGCCCAGACGCTTCACCACCCTCAGCCCGATACGCCGCTCCATCACTGGGGAACACACACACTAAGCACTTGGACTGGACACCCCCGGACCTTTGGTGACCCCCGGAGCACAGGTACCCACAGGACCCTGAAAAACCCCAGAGCCCCAAGCACCCCTGGAACCCCTGACACCCCTGGCACTCCTCTTCCCGCCTGAAACCTTCAATAAAGAACTCTGAATTTGAACTTGCGCTCTTGGGTCCTCTTCTGTCCGTGACAGAACGATCTGACCATCATGGACCCAGCGCACTCCCTGACCACGATGGAAGAAGAGCCAGAGATGACTGCCCTACAGCGACTGGAACGCTCTGAGGGAGACATAAATCGGATGGCTGGCGACATCGCTTCCCTTCTCCAGCTATTCAACCAGCAGCAACAACAGTTCCAACTGCAGCAACAACAGCTAGCCCAAGCCCTGCAACTACTCTCAAACCCGGCTACTCCACCTGCACCCCCCCCTGGTCCTTCTGTTCCTGTACCACCGACACTCCTTCATCCCTCCGCTGGAGGTCCCAATGCTGCAGGCCCGGCAGTGCTGCCACCAGATCCCCACGCTCCTGAACCAAAGATTGGGAACCCGGAACGTTTTGATGGCAACCAGAAGCAAGTAAGACCATTCTTGAGCAGCTGCCGAATCCAGTTTGCACTACAGCCCAGGACTTTCTCAACAGAGGGAGCCAAGGTGGGGTATGTCATCACACATCTCACCGGTCGAGCTCGGTTGTGGGGAACGGCGGAATTCGACCGGCAAAACCCCAGCCTGTGCCTCCTTCAGTGCCTTTGAGGAGGAGATGTTTAAAGGTCTTTGACCTAGGCTCGCCAACAGCCGAAGCGTCACAAGCTCTGCTCACCATCCGTCAGGGCAATCGGACAGTGGCAGACTTCTCCATTGACTTTCGTACCCTGGCCAGTCAAAGCTCGTTTAACCCAGAGGCACTGGTGCAAGCCTTCCTCCATAGCCTGGCGGACTATATCAAAGACGAGCTTGTTTCCCATGACCCGCCCTCAACGCTTGATGCCGCCATTGACCTTGCCGTCCGCATTGACCGCCGTATACAGACCCGGAGGAGGGAGAAGGGCCGTCTCAGTCAACCTGCCATCCGCACTCGGGTCGATACCGCTTCTGTCCAGCCCCTGCCTGTCAAGTCCCATAGCCAACTCAATCAGCCTGAGCCCATGGAGATTGGCCGTGCCTCTCTGACTCCCGAGGAGCGTCGGCGCCGTCTAAGCTCCAACCTTTGCCTCTACTTGTGGTGGCGAAAATCACCGTGTCGCCACTTGTCCGGCAAAAGCCGCAGCTCACCAGGTGTAGGGGAGATCCGGGTGAGCTCAACAAGCCTTCAGTCTCCCTCCATCCGAAAGACCCTGCTTCATCTCCGCCTTCAGCTTTCTGACAAGACTCATACATTGGCCGCCCTTGTGGATTCCGGAGCCGAAGCAAACATCATGGACCCTGAGCTTGCACAGCAACTGGGCGTGAACCATCATCAACTGACACAACCCATTCCTGCACGAGCCCCTGGATGGGCATCATCTTGGCACTGTCACTCATATCTCCGCCCCTGTGACAATCCTGCTGTCAGGAAACCACCAGGAGTCCATCCAGTTTCACCTCCTACACTCACCTGGCCAACCACTCATTCTTGGATACCCGTGGCTCCGTCAGCACAACCCCCACATCGACTGGGAGACAGGAACAGTCCGTGAGTGGGGAAGGAGTTGTCACCAGACCTGTTTAAGGGGGGCACCCTGCCCGTTCACCGGGAAAGATCTAGCGCTACCCCCCGACATATCCAATGTTCCGGCCTGTTACCACAGCCTGAAAGAGGTGTTCAACAAATCCAAGGCGACATCTCTACCCCCACACAGACCCTATGACTGCGCGATTGATCTCCTGCCTGGCACAGCACCTCCCAAGGGTCGTCTGTATTCACTGTCAGCCCCGGAAAGAAAGGCCATGGAGGACTACATTAATGACTCTCTTGCCGCCGGGATAATTAGACCGTCATCTTCCCCCGCAGGAGCGGGATTCTTCTTTGTCGGCAAGAAGGACGGTTCTCTTCGTCCATGCATAGATTACCGGGGTCTGAACGACATCACGGTTAAGAATCGCTACCCACTGCCCTTACTTTCGTCTGCCTTCGAACTGCTGCAGGGAGCCACTGTATTCACAAAGCTGGACCTTCGCAATGCCTACCATCTGGTGCGGATGAGGGAGGGAGACGAATGGAAGACAGCGTTCAACACACCAACCGGCCACTATGAATATCTCGTCATGCCCTTCGGCCTCACCAATGCCCCAGCAGTTTTTTCAAGCCCTAGTGAATGATATCCTCAGGGACATGCTAAATACGTTCGTATTTGTGTACCTTGACGATATTTTAATATTCTCAAAGACTCTGTCAGAAACACACGCACCACGTCCAGTTGGTCCTGCGCCGCCTGCTGGAGAACTCTCTTTTCGTGAAGGCAGAGAAGTGCGAGTTCCATGCCAAAACCGTTTCATTCCTGGGGTATGTGGTGACCGAGGGCAGCATTCAGATGGATCTCACGAAGGTGTCGGCTGTCACTCTTCCTGGCCAGTTCCTGAGTCTCGGAAAAAGTTGCAACAGTTTCCTGGGCTTTGCCAACTTTTATAGGAGATTCATCAGAAAACTATAGCACAGTGGCTTGACACCCCTCACGGCGCTAACCAGCACTAAACAACCGTACCAATGGACATCAGCTGCTGATAAGGCCTTCAATATCCTCAAGACATGTTTCACTTCTGCTCCCATCTCCAGATGCCAGTATGCAGGCAAGGCAGTTTGTGGTGGAGGTAAGATGCTTCGGACGTGGGAGTGGGTGCAGTGCTTTCTCAAAGAGCAGCTGAGGATGGCAAGATGCACCCCTGTGCCTTCTACTCCCAGTCGGCTAACCCCTGCCGAATGGCAACTACGACATTGGGAACCCGCGAGCTGACTGTTGGCTGTCAAGCTCGCCCTTGAAGAATGGCGGCACTGGTTAGAGGGGGTCAAAGGAACCATTCGTAGTGTGGACAGACCACAAGAACCTGGAGTATATCCAAACAGCCAGGAGGCTGAACTCCCGTCAACAGCGGTGGTCTCTGTTCTTTACGCGCTTCAATTTCACGCTCTCCTACCGCCCGGACCTCGCAACATCAAACTGATGCTCTTTCCCGGATGTTTCAGCAGGACGAGACCACCGCCATGACAGCCCCCATTCTTCCCAGCCACTTGGTCGTAGCCTCGGCCCTCACCTGGTAGATCGAGAAGCAGGTCATGGAGGCTCTTTCGGATCAGGCCAGTGGGAGCCAGGACACAGCCCGCCCCGCGTTACAAGTATAGTTCGCCGTTCCAGCTGAAATATCAGGCAAGCTTTCGATAGATTTACTAACCTCAGCTCCGTGCAGAAAGGCAGCTCGAATGACCACGTCTGGATCTGTCATCCAGGCGGCAGTAGACTCACGGCGACCCGTTCATTGGTCCGACTCAGAGCACGGAGCATTTGACTGCAGGTGGCAACGGCGGACAGGAGAGAGACGAGGTGTCGCGAGAATTCACCACGAGCGTTGTCGCAACTTGCTACGGGATACAGGAAGCATACTGAGCACCCAAGCCGACGCGTCACTGGCAGGGTGGCGAGGCCAACCACTACTCATACCCCATAGAGGCTATGTCCTGCACGTCAGGATCATGCTGAGCTCGCGTGGAACTCCCCAGATCAGTTGTTATAAGCGGTGCCCGGTCACTATCCTCCTGGCCAGCGGATCCAGTCCTCTCTCGATCTACATATCTATATCTCCAGTCAAATCAGTACGGGGACCCTACCCTCTTCGCTAGAGCCCGGCCTTACCGCAGCCTGCCGCTGAACGGTACACAGCTATTTCAGATGCCTGTAAGCACATGTGAGGACCGCTCATACAGTAAATATACAGAGAAGCGCAGCGACGACTTCGTGCCCCCCTTCACAGGAAGCGTACCCTCTAGCCTGATGCAGGAAGGGAACAAGGGGAACTTTCCCAGTGTGCAGTCCACTGCGAAGCGTAGATCGTGCTTCTCCGGACCGTAACCCCATGCGACTGCGAGTACAGTGAGAGGAGTGATAGGGGTGTGCAGAGCACCGCGCGATGACCGCAAGAATTGTATGACGAAAAAATGAAGTCGGACCGCAGCCTCTTTGGCCCACCCCACGCCGACCCCCCCCCCCCGCTTTTTCTTCATCTTGCAGCCCCCGCCGCCTTACGCCAGCTATCGTTTCTGGATGGACTGACTGACCTGTGAAGTGCTGACACGAGCCGACAAGAGACTGCGCTAAACATGAGACGCGGAACGCGGATGGCCAGCTACCACGCGAGCTGTCGATGTTACAGGCACCGCTGAGCGGTCAGTGAATGTGCTTCCACCGAAGAAATCCACCGAGCACTGGGCAGACCATGTTCAGACCAACCCTGCTCTGGGTGGATATCCCATAAGTCGTAACAACACAAGTTCCTCCAACGGATTTTCAGTCGTCCCCTCGTCTGGCAGTGTGTCTGTCACGTCGTATCGATCAGCCGTCAGAATGTCTGATCGCACAAGCAGCACATGGATGGCTTGCGCATGACCTACACAGGAGCACAGTGCGGAGCCTGGGGACAGTCCAGTGCTGCTCTTGCGTATGGCCCGCCGCGCCTAGCCGGCCGCCGAGCACGTGGCCAGGCTAGTCGGCTGGCAGTCACTGCAAGAAATGAGCCGCTAGCCTGAGCAGCTGAGACAGGGAACAGGAGCGTAGGGCATACGCCGTTGCGGTGCAACAACCGACGGAGGAACCCCAGCACCTACTTACCGGGTTGGGTCAGAAGGTCTGGCTGTCTGCCCGGGATCTGCCGCTGCGGGTTGAATCACGAAAGCTGGCCCCTCGCTTCATTGGTCCTTTTCCTGTGCAGAAAAAGTCATCAGTCCAACGGCGGTCCGACTTCAAGTTGCCCGCTTCCATGCGGGTCCACCCCACCTTCCACGTCTCCAAGGTCAAGCCGGTCCATGAAAGTCCCCTGGTCCCTGCAGCTCCGGCGCCACCTCCTCCGCGCCTCGTAGATGGCGGTCCTGTCTTCACCGTCCGGCGGCTGCTCCGCTCTAGGCGAAGGGGTAGGGGTCTCCAGTACCTCGTTGACTGGGAGGGATATGGTCCAGAGGAGAGGACCTGGATCCCGGCCAGGAGGATAGTGGACCGGACCCTTATCACTGACTTCCACCGACTACATCCTGATCAGCCTGCAATCCGTAGGGGCCGTCCAAGAGGGGTTCCTAGCCGTCCTGCCCGCCCTGCTTCCTGTCCGGTGCCTGACCCTGCTCCTGTCTCAGTGCCTGTCCTGTCTCCCGACCGTGACCCTCCAGCTCCTTCTGAGGATGAGGAGATTCACTCGGACCGCTCGGAGGAGTTCTGACCCGCCGCCTGCTCCCCTCCACCCTCCCGGCATGATGTTGTTCTTGGGACTTCTGGGGCCGTCCCTTGGAGGGGGGGTCCTGTCATGAGCACTCTCTCTCCCTGGTAGCAACATTAATTGCATTCAATTCTCTGCCACTCTGCTCACTCTCTCCCTACTCTGCCTAACGAGCTCCACCTGGCTCCGCCCTGCTCTGCTCTTGTTACCTGGCCAGCTGCACTGCATTTCCCACTCACCATCCTCACCTTGCCTCACTCTGTTCTAATTACTCTGCCAGCTGAACTGCATTTCCCCACTAACCTCTCCCAGTATATCAAGCCCTGTTTTTCAGCCAAGCCCTGTCAGATCGTCTTCAAACCCGGACCAGTAACCTGCCTGTCTGCGCTCTGACTCCTGTTTGTGATACCGATCCTTTCTTGACTGCCTCCTTGTTCTACTGCCCCGTCTATCCCGACCTGCCTTCTGGACCTCGACTACTCTCCGATCTTCAGCCCCTCCGGTAACTCGATTCTGCCTTCTGTCTCTCACCACGATATTTGCCCAGCCCAGATCTGTACTTCTGCCTGCCATTCATATTGCTGTTGTGTGTGTGTTCCCCCAGGTCTCCGACCACCAGATGAGCGTGCCCAGACGCTTCACCACCCTCAGCCCGATACGCCGCTCCATCACTGGGGAACACACACACTAAGCACTTGGACTGGACACCCCCGGACCTTTGGTGACCCCCGGAGCACAGGTACCCACAGGACCCTGAAAAACCCCAGAGCCCCAAGCACCCCTGGAACCCCTGACACCCCTGGCACTCCTCTTCCCGCCTGAAACCTTCAATAAAGAACTCTGAATTTGAACTTGCGCTCTTGGGTCCTCTTCTGTCCGTGACAGGGCATCTGTGTCACCTGTCCTATAGATCAGTAACCATAGAGAGGTAATGATCCTGGGGTTGTGGAGAATTCAACTATGATGGGCCATAAAGACTGTGTTAGTACTCCTCAGAGGGGATGAATGGTAGCCCAAGGCTCTTAACCTTTGACCTCTATACTGTACTATTAGAGAAGACAGCCACAACTTTTGCTTGTTTAAAAAAAAAAGTATTTTATTATCAAATTGCAGTTTCCTATCACACAGTGGCATCAACAATGAAGCATGACAAGTGATTGCTCTGCATATTACATTTACATTTTAGTATACACTCTTATCCAGAGCGACTTACAGTTAGTGAGTGCATACATTTTCATACTGGCCCCCCGTGGGAAACGAACCCACAACCCTAGCGTTGCAAGTGCCTTGCTCTACCAACTGAGCTACAGGGGACTCCTATTACACAACATTACATGATGTTATCAACACTTTGTTAGAAACATTATTATCTTTATTTCTCAACCTCTTCTCAATTTGTTCTTTTAGCTTAATTTATTTTGAGTGAGACTGATATACTGTATGGTGAAATCATGCATGCTTTACTTTTAGTTAATGAGGGGATTCTTGACTGGAAATAATGCGACTCAAACAGGAAATGCATCAGCAACTTTAACCCCCCCAAAACCAGTGATGTGGAAAGGTTCAGAGACATTACATCTAGTATTTCACTGGCACCGGTAAATTGTAGTACTTAAGGAAGAATGTCCTTCACTGACAAGTCACGGTTTTGTCTCACCAGTGGTGATAGTCAGATTCGCGTTTATCATCGAAGGAATGAGCGTTGCACCGAGGCCTGTACTCTGGAGCGAGATCGATTTGGAGGTGGGTGGTCCATCATGGTCTGGGGCGGTTTGTCACAGCATCATCGGACTGAGCTTGTTGTCATTGCAGGCAATCTCAACGCTGTGCGTTACAGGGAAGACATCCTCCTCCCTCATGTGGTACCCTTCCTGCAGGCTCAACCTGACATGACCCTCCAGCATGACAATGCCACCAGCCATACTGCTCGTTCTGTGCGTGATTTCCTGCAAGACAGGAATGTCAGTGTTCTGTCATGGCCAGCGAAGAGCCCGGATCTCAATCCCATTGAGCACGTTTGGGACCTGTTGGATGGGAGGGTGAGGGCTAGGGCCATTCCCCCCAGAAATGTCCGGGAACTTGCAGGTGCCTTGGTGGAAGAGTGGGGTAACATCTCACAGCAAGAACTGGCAAATCTGGTGCAGTCCATGAGGAGGAGATGCATTGCAGTACTTAATGCAGCTGGTGGCCACACCAGATACTGACTGTTACTTTTGATTTAGACCCCCCCTTTGTTCAGGGACACATTATTCAATTTCTGTTAGTCACATGTCTGTGGAACTTGTTCAGTTTATGTCTCAGATGTTGAATCTTGTTATGTTCATACAAATGTTAAGTAATACATGTTAAGTTTGCTGAAAATAAACGCAGTTGACAGTGACAGGACGTTTCTTTTTTTGCTGAGTTTATATGAGTGCTGTAGGCAATAAAAACAGGAATAAAATATGTACAGTACATTTTGTTGATTTACAACCTGTAATTGAAATAGATTTTTATTTGGATTTCATGTAATGGACATACACAAAATAGTCCAAATTGGTAAAGTGAAATGATTTTTTTTATTTTTTATAATTCTAAAAAATAAATAACGGTGTCAGAAAATGTGTTGATGTGGATGCGGTGGGTGAGTCAATCGCAGGACACAGAGGATCAGTCAAAGCAACTTTACTGTACTTGTAAATAGACACAAAAAGAAACGGCCTCAAACACAGGAGGCGAACAAAATACGCGCAGTGTGTAAAACACTAAACTCAGACAAGGCACCGAACATACAACATGTGGAACAATAACACACAACTACAAAACATAACACAGGGAAACTTATAGGTGACATAATTAGGACAGAATACGAAACAGGTGCACTAAACTAGACATGACCAAACAAACATCGAAAACATAAAACGGTGGCAGCTAGTACTCCGGGGGCGACGAACGCCGAAGCCTGCCCGAACAAGGAGGAGGAGCAGCCTCAGCGGTATTCGTGACAGTACCCCCCCCTTGACGCGCGGCTCCAGCCGTGCGCCGACCCCGGCCTCGGGGACGGCCAGGAGGACGCGGAGCAGGACGCGTGGGATGGTTACGGTGGAACTCCGTCAGGAGGGAGGGATCTAAGATGTCCCTCCTAGGCACCCAGCACCGTTCCTCCGGACCGTACCCCTCCCACTCCACGAGATATTGTAGACCCCCCATCCAACGTCTCGAATCCACGATGGACCGGACTGAGTACGCTGGAGCCCCCTCGATGTCCAGTGGGGGTGGAGGAGTCTCTCTTATCTCACTGTCCTGGATTGGACCAGCTACCACCGGCCTGAGGAGAGACACATGGAACGAGGGGTTAATGTGATAATCATTAGGCAGTTGTAACTTGTAGCATACCTCGTTCAATCTCCTCAGGACTTTAAATGGCCCCACAAACCGCCGACCCAGCTTCCGGCAGGGCAAGCGAAGGGGCAGGTTTCGAGTCGAGAGCCAGACTCGATCTCCAGGTGCGTATACTGGACCCTCACTGCGGTGGAGATCGGCGCTCGCCTTCTGTCTACGGATAGCCCGCTGCAGATGGACGTGTGCAGCGTTCCACATCTCCTCCGAGCGCCGAAACCACTCATCCACCGCAGGAGCCTCGATCTGGCTCTGATGCCATGGTGCCAGAACCGGCTGATACCCTAACACACACTGGAAAGGGGTCAGGTTAGTAGAGGAGTGGCGAAGAGAGTTCTGGGCAATCTCTGCCCAAGGGATATAACCCGACCACTCCTCCTGCCGGTCCTGGCAATACGATCTCAGAAACCTACCCACATCCTGGTTCACTCTCTCAACCTGCCCATTACTCTCAGGGTGAAAACCTGAGGTAAGGCTAACCGAGACCCCCAAACGTTCAATGAACGCCCTCCAGACTCTAGAGGTGAATTGGGGACCTCGATCGGACACTATATCTTCGGGAACCCCGTAGTGCTGGAAGACGTGGGTAAACAAAGCCTCAGCGGTCTGTAGGGCAGTAGGGAGACCCGGCATTGGGATGAGACGACAGGCCTTAGAGAACCGATCCACAACGACCAGAATAGTGATATTCCCCTGGGAGGGGGGTAGGTCAGTGACAAAGTCTACCGAGAGGTGAGACCACGGCCGTTGTGGAACGGGCAGGGGCTGTAACTTCCCCCTGGGCAGGTGTCTAGACGCCTTACACTGGGCGTACACTGAGCAGGAGGAGACATAAACCCTCACGTCCCTAGCCAATGTTGGCCACCAGTACTTAACACTAAGGCAGTGCACTGTCCGGCCAATACCTGGATGTCCAGAGGAGGGTGACGTGTGAGCCCAATATTTGAGACGATCACAGATCTCGAGCGGCACGTACGTCCGCACCACCGGACACTCCGGAGGAGTAGGGTCGGTGCGTAATGCCCGCTCGATTTCCGCATCGATCTCCCACACCACCGGTGCCACCAGACAAGATTCCGGCAGTATGGGAGTGGGCTCAATGGACCTCTCCTCTGTGTCATACCGCCGGGACAGGGCGTCTGCCTTACCGTTCTGGGACCCTGGGATGTAAGTAAGCTTAAAAACAAACCGGGTCAGAAACATGTTCCACCTAGCCTGACGAGGGTTCAGTCTCCTAGCTGCCCAGATGTACTCCAGGTTACGATGGTCAGTCAGAATGAGAAAAGGGTGTTGAGCCCCCTCAAGCCAATGCCTCCACACCTTTAGGGCCTGAACTACGGCTAGCAGCTCCCTGTCCCCTACGTCATACATTTCGTTCCGCTGGGCTGAGCTTTTTAGAATAAAAAGCGCAGGGCCGGAGTTTAGGAGGCGTGCCTGAGCGTTGAGAAAATACTGCCCCAATACCGGCCTCTGACGCGTCCACCTCCACTTGGAACGCTAAAGCGGGGTCCGGATGCGCCAGCACCGGAGCCGAGGTGAACAGGTTCTTCAGTTTATCAAACGCCCTGTCCGCCTCAGCCGACCACTGCAAACGCACCGGGCCCCCCTTCAGCAGGGAAGTGATGGGAGCTGCCACCTGTCCAAAACCCCGGATAAACCTCCGGTAGTAATTGGCAAAACCCAAAAACCGTTGCACCTCTTTAACAGTGGTTGGAGTCTGCCAATTACGCACGGCTGACACACGGTCAATCTCCATCTCCACCCCTGACGCGGACAACCGATGACCCAAGAAGGAGATGGACTCCTGGAAAAACAGACATTTCTCTGCCTTGACATACAAATCATGCTTCAACAGCCTACCCAACACTCGGCGTACCAGGGCTACATGCTCGGCTCGTGTAGACGAGTACACTAGAATGTCGTCAATGTACACAACCACACCCTGCCCAAGCAAGTACCGGAAGATCTCGTCCACAAAGGATTGGAAGACCGAAGGAGCATCTCATTAACCTGTATGGCATGACGAGATACTCATAATGACCCGAGGTGGTACTAAATGCTGTCTTCCATTCATCTCCCTCCCTAATGCGCACCAAGTTGTAAGCGCTCCTGAGATCCAGTTTTGTGAAGAAACGCGCTCCGCGTAATGATTCCATCATACTCGCAATCAGAGGAAGAGGATAACTGTATTTAACAGTGATCTGATTGAGATTACGGTAATCAATACACGGGCGCAACCCCTCCATCCTTTTTCTTCACAAAAAATAAACTCGAGGACACAGGGGAAGTGGAGGGCCGTATGTATCCCTGTCTCAGAGACTCGGCTATGTAAGTCTCCATAGCCGCCGTCTCCTCTTGAGACAAGGGATACAAATGGCTCCGCGGAAGTGCCGCACCCGCCAGGAGGTCTATCGCACAATCTCCCCGTCTATGAGGTGGCAATCGCGTCGCCCTAGTCTTGCTGAACACGAGTGCCAAATCCTCATACTCGGGGGGAATGTGCATTGCGGGCACCTGGTTCGGACTCTCCACCGTGGTCGCCCCTACGGAAACACCTAAACATCGCCCGACACACTGGTTAGACCACTCCTTGAGAGCCCTCTGTTGCCACAAAATGGTGGGATCATGGGCGATTAACCAAGGAAGCCCCAGTACCATGGGATACGCAGGAGAGTCGATCAGATACAACTGAATAATCTCTTCATGACCCCCCTGCGTCCTCATCTTAAGTGGCGCTGTGACCTCCCTAATCAACCCAGATCCCAACGGACGGTTATCTAGGGCATGGATAGGGAAGGGTGCATCAACAGGCAGGAGAGGAATCCCTAACCTCACACAAAAATTACGATCAATGAAATTCCCAGCTGCGCCTGAATCGACTAGCGCCTTATGCTGGGACTGAGATGCAACCTGAGGAAATACTACAGGTATACAAAAGTGAACAACAGAGAGCTCTGGGTGAGTTGGGCGCCTACTCACCTGGAATGACTCCCCAGTGCGCGACCTGTTGCCTCGAACCCCTGGAGACCCTCCCCAGCACCTAGCCGCAGTGTGTCCTCTACGACCACAGTTGGGGCAGGGGACGGCCTCCCTCGGTATCTCTCTCCTCCTCTCTCTAGCGCCAGCACCCCCGAGCTCCATAGGGCTCGGCTCGGAGGTGCTGGGGGATGGAATGGACGGCCCCAACTCTGGACGTCCGCGGGTGGCCAGCAGGGTATCCAGACGGATTGACATGTCCACCAACTGGTCGAAGGTAAGATTGGTGTCCCTGCAGGCCAACTCTCGTCGAACGTCCTCACGCAGGCTACACCGATAGTGGTCGATGAGGGCCCTCTCAATCCACCCCTCATCCGCCGCTAGAGTCCGGAAGTCCAGGGCGAACTCCTGTGCGCTCCTCTTCCCCTGTCGAAGGTGGAACAGACGCTCCCCCGCCGCTTTACCCTCAGGGGGATGATCGAAAACAGCCCTGAAGCGGCGGGAGAACTCCGCGTAGCTGATGGTGGCGGCGTCTATTCCCCTCCATTCGGCATTGGCCCACTCCAACGCCTTGCCGGAGAGACAGGAGATGAGGGCGGAAATGCTCTCGTATCCCGAGGGCGCCGGGTGTATGGTTGCCAGGTAGAGCTCCACTTGAAGGAGGAACCCCTGACACCCGGCTGCGGTGCCATCGGGAGCGAGAGCCGAATACCACTGGACTCCGGAGCTGGTATGGTGGGGCTGGCCGATGGTGGTGGTAAGGTAGGAGGAGGTGTGGGCAAGCCTCCTCTCTCCCATCGGCGCAGGGTGTCCATTACCTCTTACATGGCAGATCCGAGTTGCTGGATCCTGGCGTCCTGGCAGCTGACCCGATCCTCCAGCGACTCCGTTCTCGCCACTGCTCCTGCTGACTCCATAGTAAAGAGGTGTGTTATTCTGTCAGAAAATGTGTTGATGTGGATGCGGTGGGTGAGTCAATCGCAGGACACAGAGGATCAGTCAAAGCGACTTTACTGTACTTGTAAATAGACACAAAAAGAAACGGCCTCAAACACAGGAGGCGAACAAAATACGCGCAGTGAGTAAAACACTAAACTCAGACAAGGCACCGAACCTACAACACACGACATGTGGAACAATAACACACAACTACAAAACATAACACAGGGAAACTTATAGGTGACATAATCAGGACAGAATACGAAACAGGTGCACTAAACTAGACATGACCAAAGAAACATCGAAAACATCAAACGGTGGCAGCTAGTACTCCAGGGACGATGAACGCCGAAGCCTGCCCGAACAAGGAGGAGGAGCAGCCTCGGCGGTATTCGTGACAAACGGAAAAGTGGTGCATGCATATGTATTCACCCCCTTTGCTATGAAGCCCCTAAATAAGATCTGGTGCAACCAATTACCTTCAGAAGTCACATAATTAGTTAAATAAAGTCCACCTTTGTGCAATCTAAGTGTCACATGATATGTCACATGATCTCAGTATATCTACACCTGTTCTGAAAGGCCCAAGAGTCTGCAACACCACTAAGCAAGGGGCACCACCAAGCAAGCAGCACCATGAAGACCAAGGAGCTTTCCAAACAGGTCAGGGACAAAGTTGTGGAGAAGTACAGATCAGGGTTGGGTTATAAAAAAATATCTGAAACTTTGAACATCCCACAGAGCACCATTAAATCCATTATAAAAAAATGGAAAGAATATGGCACCACAAAAATCCTGCCAAGAGAGGGCCGCCCACCAAAACTCATGGACCAGGCAAGGAGGGCATTAATCAGAGAGGCAACAAAGAGACCAAAGATACCCCTGAAGGACCTGCAAAGCTCCACAGCGGAGATTGGCGTATCTGTCCATAGGACCACTTTAAGCCCTACACTCCACAGAGCTGGGCTTTACAGAAGAGTGGCCAGAAAAAAGCCATTGCTTAAAGAAAAAAATAAGCAAACACGTTTGGTGTTCGCCAAAAGGCATGTGGGAGACTCCCCAAACATATGGAAGAAGGTACTCTCGTCAGATGAGATTAAAATTGAGCTTTTTGGCCATCAAGGAAAACGCTATGTCTGGCGCAAACCCAACACCTCTCATCACCCCGAGAACACCATCCCCACGATGAAGCATGGTGGTGGCAGCATCATGCTGTGGGGATGTTTTTCATCGGCAGGGACTGGGAAACTGGTCAGAATTGAAGGAATGATGAATGGTCGCTAAATACAAGGAAATGTGTATACAGTATGAAAAATGTATGCACTCACTAACTGTAAGATGCTCTGGATAAGAGCGTCTGCTAAATTACTAAAATGTAAAATGTAAATTCTTGAGGGAAACCTGTTTCAGTCTTCCAGAGATTTGAGACTGGGACGGAGGTTCACCTTCCAGCAGGACAATGACCCTAAGCATACTGCTAACGCAACACTTGAGTGGTTTAAGGGGAAACATTTACAAATCTTGGAATGGCCTAGTCAAAGCCCAGACCTCAATCTAATTGAGAATCTGTGGTATGACTTAAAGATTGCTGTACACCTGCGGAACCCATCCAACTTGAAGGAGCTGGACCAGTGGCGAGATGTGCCAAGCTTATAGAGACATACCCCAAGAGACTTGCAGCTGTAATTGTTGCAAAATGTGGCTCTACAAAGTATTGACTTTGGGAGGGTGAATAGTTATGCACTCTCAAGTTTTCTGTTTTTTTGTCTTATTTCTCGTTTGTTTCACAATAAAACATATTTTGCATCTTCAACGTGGTAGGCATGTTGTGTAAATCAAATGATACAAACCCCCCCAAAATTTGAAAAATGCAAAGGGGGGTGAATACTTTCGCAAGCCACTGTATCTGAATTGAACACTGGCAAATGGACAGTGCGGTTTCTAAACTGGTCAATTTCCATTGAAAGGATTGATCATTATTATAATCATCATAATTATTATCATTAATATTCTTTCATAATATGTCTGTTTAACAATATAAATGAAACAGTAGATAACCTGGACAGTGCGATATTCTCTCGCTGGTGGTAACAACGTTGATGTTGTTTTTGACGGTAGAGTTGAGATCTTCAGACAGGCCTTTCTTCAGTGTGATGGTGTTTGTCTTGTCACCAGGAGAGGCCTCAGTGTCTCTCAGTGGATGTCCATCCATAGTCCAGCTGTACTGGGGACCGTCCCCCTCAGAGAAGCAGGACACCCTCATCTCTCCATTGGACAGACACTCAGAGGACAGCTTTGCAGGGGACACAGGGGCTATGGGGGAAGATGAACAATGGTATTAATGTTGAGGTTATAATGTTGTTACTGGTTTCTGTCTAGTTTATCACAATTACAGCTCTATGGACACATATTTATATACTTACAGTATTAAATGCATTTTTTGTTAGTTTGATTTATAAGTCATTGCATCATACTTGTTGATTAAATGTCCTAAATTAATATCTAGGAAGCAAATAGTAAAATTACTGTATCAAATAATAAAATAAAATAGTAATGAGTTAGCGAGTTAGGTATTTACCTTCAATGAACAGTTGTAGTCGTCTGGTGCCCAATGATATTCAATTTTTATCAAATGTTACAATTATGTATTCAGCTATATCTGTCCTTTCTGTGTTATTTAATCTAAACGTCCCGTTGTTGATGAAGAAGTGTGACCTAGCTTTAAAGGGGTCATCGATTATCACTTTGTTGTCTGTCATTTTGAATATTCGTGTAGAACTACCATTGGAGTCTTTTTTAAACGTGATATCATGTGCAGTCATCAGCTGGAGATAGACAGTTCCTCCCAGAGTTCCATAACATGACATGTTTTGTCTAGCATCACAGGTTGTCACCTTGCCTGAAAATCATAGTCACTATTACTGTCCTCTTTTTGAGTTTCATTTTACAGATGAGGATACAATCAAGCAACAGTATATGGACGTATAGGAATGGAAGTATATATGGAGACTGTTTAGTGCAAAAAATAAGGGGTTAAATACATGTAAAATGTATATACAGTACCAGTCAAAAGTTTGGACACATCTACTCATTCCAGGGTTTTTCTTTATTTTGACTATTTTCTACAGTGTAGAATAATAGTGAAGACATCAAAACTATGAAATAACGCATATGGAATCTTGTAGTAACCAAAAAAAAGGTTACACAAATCAAAATATATTTTAGATTTTAGATTCTTCAAAGTAGCCAACCTTTGCCTTGATGACAGCTTTGCACACTCTTGGCATCTGTTGTTCCATTTAGTAAATCTGTTATTCAATGCGTTTGTGTGGGCTAACAGCAAGAAGGCCAAATCATTTTATTTCAGCAAATAATAATTTCAAGGGGTCTTAAAAATCAAAAATCAAACAGCAAAATGATCCTTGGTATGACCTTAAAACAATTCCATATAGCTTAGTTAAAAAAAAAACTCCCCCGGCTTAGACTCTTATGGGTCAATAGGCAACATACTGTAACAGCACCTCAGTTTATTAGAGGGATTCATTTGACAAAAGTGATTCTGAGTAGCCTACAGTATACTGTATCACAAAGAGCTGTGATCAAGCGATGCTCTTGCTGCTTGATATACTGTACACAACTCCTTATACTATGCATAAAAAGAGGGACACCAACACATATACAGAAACTTCCTACCATGAGACACTCCTACTAAGATCCCGAACAGTCCAAACACAGCCTCCATGTCTCTTCACAACACAGCGCTCAATTTAGCAAATTAACCTCCTGTACTTTAACAAAGTCCTCTATTTTTCATACCGTGCTGAATTTTCATAACCTGTCAATGTTTTAAGACATAAACAAAACCCATGCAAAGGTGGTATGAAAGATACTCCAGCTGCCCCTGCCCTTCAGTAGAACTCGTTCAGTTTGTGACAACCAAAATAAACTGTAATTTTGACCTAACCCTATTCATAGGTTCTGACTCAGAGGAAAGGTGAGGAGCCTTGTAGGCCCTCCCTCACACTTATGTGCTCTCTGTCACCTAGGGCTGCAGCCTGGTCTCAGACTAGACGTAACATAGTAAATGTAAATCCAGGATAACTAAATTAGTATGAAATGTGACGTTTGGTATGGTTACATAAGACATATGTGTACTTAAAGCAAAAACGAAAGTAGGGTGGTTGGTCGGGGTGGATGGGTTGGTGTATAATGTGAAAAGGTTGCGAGTTCGAAGCTCATCACGGACAACTTAAGTATTTTAGCTAATTAGCAACCTTTCAAGTACTTACTAATTTTTAGCTACTTTGCAACTACTTAGCATGTTAGCTAACTCTTCCCCTAACCTTAACCCTTATAGATAACCCTTCCCCTAACCCTAACCTTAACCCTTTTAGCTAACCCTTCCCCTAACCCTAACCTTAACCCTCTAACCTAAATCCTAAACTCAACCCTAACCCTAACCCCTAGCATAGCTAACATTAGCCAGCTACCTAACGTTATTCACCTAGCTAGAATTCGTAACTTATCACATGTTTTGCAAATTTGTAACATATATAGTACATTTAGCTAATTCGTAACATATATGTTTTTGTAGATTCATAACATACTGTATTGTACGTTTTGCAAATATGTAGCATGTGGTCCTCTGTAACTCAATTGGTAGAGCATGGCGCTTGTAACGCCAGGGTAAAAATGTATGCACGCATGACTGTAAGTCGCTTTGGATAAAAGCGTCTGCTAAATGGCATATTATATTATATTATTATACTGAACAAAAATATAAAAACAACATGTAAAGTCTTGGTTCCATGTTTCATGAGCTGAAATAAAAGATCCCACCTATGGCTGCGCCCCTGCCCAGTCACATGAACTCCATACATTAGGGCCTAATGAATTTATTTCAATTGACTGATTTCCTTCTATGAACTGTAACTCAGTAAAATCATTGAAATTGTTGCGTTTATATTTTTGTTCAGTATAATATGAATTGTAATTCGTAACATGTCATATGAAATGGGTGATGGACATCCACAAATTAATACATAACAAACAAAACGTAACATATCATACTAAACGGAGAATATCGGATTTACATACTGAATAATACAAAATTATCTGAGACCAGGTTGCAGCGGGGCTGCATGGTGAAATGGCCCAGGGCACAGTTTCCTGATAGCGATGGAACTGAGGCTTACAAGTGTTTTAATGATTCATCTTTCCTACAACGGCAGAAGATGTAACATGTGTTTCCCAGAACAACACGCAGAGAGAACAGTCGCTAAGTTGGATCATGTGTCAATACTGATAGAATCAAAAGAAAGGGATCGGATCAGCTTTCTCCATTCAAATCTTTCCTTAACATTAGAATTATTTCACAATACTGACAACGGATCAGCTCCTAGAGAGATAGTACCACCTACTGCTGCAAATATTGAGGCGGCTTATTCTATGCTTACGCATATGGAAAGCCAAAAAATTCAAATCGTCTTACCCGGAAGATGTCTTAACACTTGTAATTATCATTTTTCACTTGCTTTTTTCAAGTGTCAAATGTCATTTTCTTTACATATGTTTTTGTCACTTGTCCAGTGTGCCTTTACAGGTGATTTGAACGCTTGTAATGGTCATTTTTCACTTGCTTTTTTCCAAGTGTCAAGTGTCATTTTTTGTACACGTGATTTTTTCACTTGTCCAGTGTGCGTTTACAGGTGATTTGAACACTTGTTATGATAATTTTTCACTTGGTTTTTGTCAAAACTCATTTTCACACTTGTTAATTACACCGGTTTAGTAAATATTTACAAGTGATTAGAATGCTTGTTATGGTCATTTTTACATGTGTTCTTTACACCTGTCCAGTGTAAAGGGACTAGAGGAATGCGTAATGATAAGGCCACTGACCGGTCTAGGAAATTGCCTGCAGCACCTGAGTCCACTAGGGGCGGACTCAGTGGGGGACCAGGATAGTCAGGGATGGTGACAGGGAGGAGGACGGGCTGGGTGGACAGAGAGGAGCAAGGCACGTCCATGTCTACCTGGGAAGGTGCAGGAGCGCTCCTCGTCCTGTCGCTTCCTCGCCTGGGTCTCCTTCTGGGACAGGTGTTCCAGGGGTGGTCCGACTCCCCGCAGTAGGAGCAGAGATCCTGTTGATGGTGGCGTTGACTTTCCGCAGGGGGAAGGTGCGTCGTGCCCACTTCCATGGGCTCAGTCTCGCTGGAGGTTCCTGGGAGAGACCCGAACCCCCTGGATGGGCGATGACGGGCACGCAGGAGATTATCCAGGTGGATGGCGATGAGCTGGTCCAGCGTGAGGTCCTCATCTCGACAGGCCAGCTCGGTCTGGACGTCCGCCTGTAGCCCGCTGTGGAAAACCGTCAACAGGGCCTGGTCGTTCCAGACAGTGGACGTAGCCACCGTACGGAAATCCAGAGCATACTCCGACGCTGTGCTGGACCCCTGGCGTAGACGGAGGAGATGCTCACCTCCCTATCGGCCCTCTGTTGGGTGGTCAAAGACGGCACGGAAGAGTTGGGTGAAGCGCTCATAGGACTGCACTTCTGGACCGTCCCTCTCCCAGACGGCGTGCACCCACTCCAGAGCCCGGCCTGTCAGCACCGAGATCACCAAGGCCACCTTGTCCCTCTCAGAGGCCGTCCCTGCATGACGGGCAAGGTGGAAGTCACACTGCAGGAGAAACCCCCTACAGTGAGCTGGGGTGCCATCAAACCACTCCAGGAGGGGCAGGTGGACGTTGCTGATCGGACCGGGTGATGAAGATGGTGGTGGGTGTGGCTGGAACGACCGCAGGGAGCTTGGAAGGTGGTGGTCTAGCCAGCAGTTGGTGTATGTCCCGGAGCTCCTCGTCCATGGCAGTCCCGAGGCGCTCCAGGTACGATTCGTGGTGGCGGAGCTTCACTCCTACAGCTGAGAGGTCGGGATGTCCTGCTGCTTCCTGTTTTCTCAGGTCAGTCATTCTGTCACTGGTGTAGACGCAGTCGCAGGTTTAGAACTACTGGATTTATTTAAGCACCATAGATCAAAGTGGGACGAAACCCAAACGCTGTTGTGCTCAAAATATATCTTCATAAATAAAAAGGCACAGGGCGAACCCAAAGTGCAAAATATAAAGTACTCAGGAAATAGTAGGAGAGATTCCTCTCAGGAAAACAAGTAACATTTACAATTACCGACAAAGACAAATGGCAGAGGGAGTATATACACAGTGATAGAGTGGGTATTGGAACCATGTGTGTAATGATGACGAGACAAGACCGGGGTTGATGAGTGAAGGGCGTTAGCCAGCAGTAGGTTCGGCAGCAGCTAGAAGGCCGGCGACGCCAAACGCCTGATCTGGACAGGAGGCGGAGCCAAATCAAAGACTGGTGTGACAGTTGGTCTTATTACACCAATATCTATTCCTTTATGGCATTGAAAAATAAATTCAGTTCCTCCACATTGAAATGAATGGTGGCCAACTTGAAAATAGGCTGCTGTGACAGATGTTATACTAAATCTATGATGACTCAATGACACTTTTCCAATGGGTATCCTTGTTCTGTGGGAAATGTGGTGTAGTTATCATCAAGGGTACCATATGATAATAAAGCACATCTCAATACTGCCCAATCTGTCTCAATATACCCCAAAATGCATACAGGTATGACCAGATCATGAAATATGAGACCAACACTTTACATTTTACATTTTAAGTAATTTAGCGGACGCTCTTATCCAGAGCGACTTAACAGTAGTGAGTGCATACATTTTCATACTTTACATTTATATTTTTGTTCAGTGTACATACAGTGGCTTGCGAAAGTATTTTTCCAATTTTATTGCCTTACAACCTGGAATTAAAATTGATTTTT